GTTTTGATTTTTCTCTTCCGCAAGGATAACCAGAACTTAAAGAAGGGTTATGTAATGTCTGCTTTCTGAGTATGCTGCTCCTTCCGACTCCTACACGGTGGCAGATATTGAAATAAACTCTGCACAAATTCCCAGCAGAGATGGGGATGTCGGCAACAACTGCTTTTTCCCAATAATTCACTTCAGTGATGACTGAAAAAAAAATTACTTCTGTAGATGCAGCAACTGATATTTGCAGTTCCTCTATGAATCAATGAATTGAAAGTGTAGCTCATATTTGATGACTCGTTCTGTGCCCTTTGGGGTGGTTCTCTTCTCCTTTGAAACTTGATATGAGAGCATATTGTTTAAAACGATATCATTTTAAATTGAGGGTTGGTTTGTTTTTTCTACAATGTCTCACCTAGTACAGCTACAAATGCTTCAGTCCATGGTCCTCGGCCGTATTAATGACTTGGTTCTCTCAGGAAAAATGCTTATCTTTTGGCTGTGTTTTGGGAATGAACAAGTGAAGTTAAAGCTCTTCAGTCAATTTCAGTTCAGTGATATCTGCGTTCCTTAGTGTATAAATAAAAACGAACTTTTCTGCAATGTAATTTTAATCTTCAGTTTTAAATTAAGTCTCATACTCCTTCTGTAGCAATTGTCTGTAAGTGATGATAACAAGATATCTCAGTCATATGGCGTCTGAGTGTTTCTGTCAAAGAAAGCATAGAGATGTATCTTGGTTGTTAAGAACCTCAGCTGCCTTTTTGTTTTCGAGTTTTTAGCCAACATGATGTGTTCTCAGCCTCTAATTGTCACTGAATTGTCGTTTTTCTATATTAGGCCAAGATCGGGGGAGATGAAACAGAGAAACAGGTTTATGTTCCTTATAAGTCTAAAAGGAACAAGTAATACCACTAGATTGGCAGCCTTATTTCCCATGGCCCTTTTCCTTAGTTTCAGATTGATGACCTAGGGATATGAACTTGCAGCTCCTTCCTCCTGGGTCTTTGCAACAGTACCTGCAGTGATAGTATGCTCTTGAGTTCCCGGAGAATTGCTTGTGTACAAATGATGGTAATGGATGAACATGCCCTGTGGTGTATCAGGAGCCCTCCTTAAGAAGGTTTAAGTCTCCTTCAGGTATTCCGCTTTGTTTAATTACGGTTTCCTTGAGCACTTGTTGCTGTTTCTCTAGCTTTGCTAATGTGCCCTTTGATGAACTGTCTCTGCTGTGTAACTGTACCTCCTAGATCTACTGTCTGTAATTTCTACCATAATCCATCAATGTGTTTTTGGCCATAGCATTCAATTGGCCCCTCTGTTCTTGCATTTTAGCTAGTCCATGCAGTAGAAATAGCTGTAGATTTGGCAGCTTGCAGTTTACTCAGTGCCTGTCTCCAAGGGAAAGTGGATCCTAGCCCAGGAGCTGGCAGGGCTCACTGATGAATAGGATAAGGGGGAATGGTTTCAAACTAAGATGGGGAGGTTTAGGTTGGATATTAGGAGGAATTTTTTCACCCAGAGGGTGGTGATGCACTGGAACAGGTTGCCCAAGGAGGCTGTGGATGCCCCATCCCTGGAGGCATTCAAGGCCAGGCTCTGGGCAGCCTGGTCTGGTGGCTGGTGACCCTGCACATAGCAGGGGGTTGAAACTAAATGGTCATTATGAGCATTTCAACTCAGGCCATTCTATGATTTTATGATTCTATAACTTGACAAGGGATTCTCTGCTGGGCTGTTCTTACAGTGTACTTTTCAATAAAATAAGTACTTCTGTTGTTTGGGGAGTTGAGCCCTATAATCAGCTGTGGAAAAAGGGTTGAAGATTTACAGACTTGTGAAGGAAAATTGAAATTGGCTGTCCACTGCCCGTCCAGTGGCTGGGTTTCAGTCTCATCATTAATCTAAAACTACTCAGATCAACTCTGAACTGATAAAAAATGATTAAAATAAACCGTTATTTTTGTTTTTAGTGATGCCCGAGTTCATACCAATCTCTTCTTCTATGTTTGGCATTTGATAATTTTTTTTATCATTTTCCCTAATTTTTATGCAGTATTATCAGGCCGTTTGTCCTCCTTAATCAGAGTTAGCTTTAGTTTGCAAGGAATAATTCAACATTGCCATTACTGCAGCAGTTTGGCCTTGCAAAATAATCAGGAAAACCTGCTAATCTAGCGGAAAATAAATCTGCTTACAGTGAATACCATGAATATATTATTTGTAGTACTGCTAAAACAAGAGCATAGGAACTGTAGGTAGATGTGTATCTTGAAATACACTATCTCTTCCAAATAAGTTTCCTTTTTCTAGCATGTACCCTGCTTTCAGGATTTACTTTGTTGCCACTTAAGCTGATACACTTGTGTATACTTTTTGAAACAGTGTTTCAGACTCTTAAGTCTTCTAAGCTCATGCAATCTATTACTGCTTTGTAGGCTACGAAGTCACGACATTTTAAGATGGTTTCTAGGTTGGAAATATTTGCTTCCTTGAGGGAATTGATTTGATTTTAAAGAATTTAGTTATGTTGCAGTCTTGTTTGTTGCTGTCTAGTTAATTTTAAAATTAAGGTGATTAAAGGCTGTAGTCTTTGCAACTGCGAAGGGAAGGTCGGTGCTTCCTAAACTTCAGATCTGATAGCTGGGCTAGGTGCAAGTGAACCTAATATTTGCTAGAGACAAGTTGTTTTGTTTTCAGCTAATAATATAAACTGGGTAGTTATGCTCTTTGTTCCAACCTTCAGTCATTTTTGTCAGCATTAATGGAGAAAGCCTCCCTTATTGCTCTTTGCTAGCTTAAATAGTTGGCCAGAAGTTTGTGATTTGACTTTCGGTATCATTTTTTGATGACTATTTCCCATGTGATATCTAGATGTGTAATACCACTTTCTTTTATTTAAATAAACTCTTACACAGCATGCAGACTCTACCTTGAAACAACCTCTAAGTTGAAAAGTCAAACAACTCAAAACTAGTAAATTCCAGAAACAAGCTTGCCTCTGCATTGTTAATTAAGTTCTCTCGCTGCACCTTATGATACCATCTTTAATTACATGATCACATTAGTTTTTCCAAAGCTGCTTCCTTCATTTCATGCACAGGACAGATCTGCTCAAGGGGTGAACTGGGGTTGTACAGCAAAGGGCACTTCTGCCTGCAGGGGTCTTCTCAGCTGCTATGGAAATGGGAAGATTTCTGCTTAGAGGAGAGGGCTGATGAAGGGTAAACTGATCTGCAGCTGACAGGTGATGTAAATAATGGGAATTAAACATTCCTTTGGATTGTTAGATATTATATTAGGCAAACTACTCGGAGCAGGCTTTTTCTGGTACTCCTAGGAGATGTCACCAGAAGGTATGTATGTGTTGAACACACAGTATTGTTTTGCAAGCAGTGTTACTCAGAGAGATAAATGATCCCCAGATTTATGCTGTGCCCTCCATGCAAGGAATTGTTTTCTCTTCAGAAGGGGTAAACTCTATCACGTTAATTGTACTGGATGGGTGGGAGTGTTTAGGAAATATGTCATATGCATCTTGCATGCAAGGGCTGGGGGTTAGAGGGAAGTTCCTAGTATGCAATTGAATCTTGAACATGTGAATATACGGAGAAACAAGATGACATTTCATTAGAAACTTCTGGGTTTTTTTTTTTGTTTGTTTTTTTCTTTTTGTCTCAGAACTGCTAATATTGTAGCCTGGAGTTTTTTGGGCTATTTTAAACACTGCAAAATTTGCTGTTGCTTTTGTGGCAGTCTCTCTGTTTTGCTGTTTCGAGAAGATATGCTCTGCAGAGCATACCTGCAAAGAGCAGAGGTGTCTGCTGCAGGGTGAAGCTAACTATCTTGTAGGATACATGCATAGGAACATCTACTATATAAGCAAAGAATTGCTTTACAAAGTGTGGCATCGTATGTTACAGAAAACCCCATGATGTATTTAACTAAGCCAGAGAATATCCAGGTGTTCTGAGATGTAATGGAGAGGGAGGAAAGCAGAAAGTTTCAAAATGCACTCTAATAAAAACAATTCCTCTCTAATATACATAAGCTGTAGGAACATGTTGTGCACTTACTGTCTTCCTAAACTCTGGAGGTTTTTTTTTTTTTGCTCTTACATCAAATTAAATTAGTCACCTAGTTGGTTTGCAAAGAAGAAAAGGGTATGAGTATAAAGCTGATGGAAGGACAAAAAAAAGTGGAAACTGCAACACAGAAATTGGCTCTTGAAGTAATAATATGTTCTCTTAAGCCTCATAAATATCTGGAAGATATCAGTCTTCATTTCATTTTAAATTTCTCTTGCAGATTTTGAAACTGCTTTGATACTCAGATAGCTAGGATATTAAATAATGGATGAAAAGAAAGTGCCAATGTTTGGTCTTATTCTGATATTCCTGTAAAAATGACGTCTCAATTTATTTGATCTTGAATATGTGAAGGGTTTTTTATGTCCTTTTTTCTTATTATTGTTCTTTGGTGTAGATAGAAGTACATGTTTCTATCTGCATATGATATTCAACAGTTATTTCCAACTCTTTATGGTATGCTCTCTGACAGAAGCATTTAAATATTTGCAATTGTATCTATTCTTCTGATACTGTTTTTAAAAATGTGCAACTAACTTGTGCTTTTTTACTAAAGTAGTCTATTTAACATTGGTTATTGAGGCACTCTGAACACAGTTGTGCTTGCATGACAGAAACATAATAGAAACAAAACTGTATTGCAAACCTACAGTGCTTACTGCGTGAGCTTGACGTATATTTGAGTAGCGCCTTTGTTCAAAAGACCTGCTTCAGGACTGAAAACTATTGTATGAGGAAAAGTCTAAGGTGGTGGTCACATGTAGCATGCTTACAAATTTCCATCCTCCAACTGAATTGAAATGAAAAAGGGTTTTAGTGGTATCTTGAAGTAGATTCTTTGTGTGCATGCATGTGTGTGTATATAGACACTCATAAAATTTGATGTATGAAGATGTGTTTTGTTTTGTGTTTTTTCTTAAACAGAGTCCTGTGGATACTGAAGCTCAAAACGGGATATTGATCTCTTCATGATGCTTGGACACCTTTCACTACCAACAGGATTTTCAAAGGAAATTCAGCATGGCCTAGTGGGTTGACCTTTGGAAACTTTATAATGTCCTCTGGAACTAGTATCAGAAAAAATCAGCAGGGTCTGAGCCTGCAGGGGGTTGACCCGGAAACCTGTATGATAGTGTTTACAACACACTGGGCACAGGTAATGCTACTGAGTTTTATTGATTTGAAGTAGGTTGTATTAATGAGAGTTTGCTTTATTCTTACTTCTGGGGTTACCCTGAGTTTCTGAGGAACGCACATCTTTCGTGCAGAACATGATGTTGAACTGACTGCTGCAGAAAGGGGCAGTAGTGTTTCTGAGATAATTCCAGTGTTAAAGAGGTGCTGTTCAAGAGCCATCTTTTGCCACTTAACTGCAGTTAAGCACTCATGTTGGGGCAGGAGCTGTTGTTGGCAGTTATCCTCCACAAAAGGACTAAATGCAGTGGCTTTTTCTCTGACAATGAGCTTCATTGATTGCATGCAGAACAGAGTTTAATGCAGGGGTTTGAATGCTGGAATAATTATTACTCAGTCTTGAAATGTATATTGAATGTTGCAAGAGTTTTGGGGCAGTGGTGACCATTAGATATCACTGAAGATGTGGCAAAGAGAGAATAGCTATGTGGGCTTCTTTACTGCTGTGAACCACCTTGCGGCATTGATGTCCTTGAGCTCGGTTACTTGGCAAGAAGGGCCCTGTGATTTTTAGTCCTCTCTGACAGAGAAGCTTATTGCAAATATTAAAACTCAATTTCTGAAGTCTTAAGAGAACCTATTTTTTTTTTAATGCTTAAGAGAAGTCCAGGTTCTCAGCAGCGAGACAAGTGGCAAATTCAGGTCCTTATAAAAATGGGGAAAGAAAACAACTAAATTTCAGTCTAGGATATCCAACACATTTATGTGTAGAAGGTTTGACTGACAGAAACTGCAAGTGTAAATACAACGTATATCATTTTGTTTTAAGTTCTGTGTTACGAATTTTGAGGTCTTTTTTCCCCTTATGTTTATACGTAAGTGAATATTTTTAAATGTATGCTCAAATGATTGATCTGCTTTTGTTTATTTTTAGGTTCTAAAAATCTTAGAGAAACATGATCCTTTGAAAAATACTCAGGCCAAGTATGGTGCAGTTTCACCTGATGAAGCCAGCACTGTTCAGAATTACGTGGAGCACATGCTTTTCTTACTCATTGAGGAGCAAGCAAAGGATGCTTCCATGGGACCCATTCTAGAGTTTGTGGTCTCAGAAAACATAATGGAGAAGCTTTTTCTTTGGAGCCTGCGGCGGGAGTTCACTGATGAGACAAAAATTGAGCAACTCAAAATGTATGAAATGCTGGTAACCCAGTCTCATCAGCCTTTGCTACATCACAAGCCCATCTTGAAGCCTTTGATGATGTTGCTGAGTTCCTGCTCAGGAACAGCTACTCCAACAGTGGAAACAGAGCTAGTTGTCCTCCTGAATCAGCTCTGTTCTATAATAGCCAAAGATCCTTCCATTCTAGAACTGTTTTTCCACACCAGTGAGGACCAAGGAGCTGCCAATTTCCTCATATTTTCCCTTCTGATTCCCTTCATTCATCGAGAAGGAAGAGTAGGCCAACAGGCTCGTGATGCACTGCTCTTCATTATGTCCCTGTCAGCAGAAAACAACGTTGTTGCAAACCACATAGCAGAAAACACTTATTTTTGCCCAGTAAGTTGTTCTTTCTTGATCTTCAGTGTTAAACTAATCATCTTTATTCTTCTTGTCCTGTTTTGTCTTTTCTGATGAAGATGTGTTGTAACGTATTACTTCTGTTTCTGCTAACAACTGTTTCACAAACATAGTGTTGTTTAAGCCAGGCCTGACTCCAGATGCAGTCCTGCTGCTTGTTTCCATACCAGTGCAGTTCCTTTCCTTTGGGTCCATGCAAATAGGCCCATTTATTTATTTATTTATTTATTTGCAGTCTAACAGTGAGTATCATTGGAAAACTAATAGGATTAGAGCAGAACTATTCAGAGAAGGAATCTGATCTAGCTCACCCTAAGAACCCTGTAAAATTTTTGGGAGTGAAGGGAGTAGAAGTGAACCCTGTTTTCTCAGGTTACTGATTCTGGTGGCGAAACTTGTTTACACCAGTTCTGTATACCATACTGTAACACCAGTTGAACAGTCCTGTAAATGGGAGACTTGCTCTTTGCAAGGATCATGAGGTTCCAATGGCTGTCTTGGCCATACCACCATCATGCTATGTAGTCTATTACAAAACTTGGTAGTAATGTTGCGTTATTAGATCTGGCAAATCAGTTGTACTTCGTGAACAGAATATCTTAGTGATTAAACAAATACATTTTCTAACAGCTTTGTACTATTGCACCTGCTTCTTCATGCTTGCTCACAAAAAGTGCTTTGAGATCTGCAACGGGTGGATTCAAAGCCAAGTATCATTCTGCAGCTAAGATGCTCTTCTGCATTAATTTTTGGCCTGCCCTTCCACCTCAACATTTGTGCAGTGGTTATTCCAGCCACAGGTCCCTATTTACTCTCACATTACTATCTTCCTTGAGAGTTGTGCGGGCTTACAGTCTGCAGGAAGCCTGTAAGTTCCAAAATGAAACTTGTAAATGGCTTCCTTTGTCAGTTGTAAATATTGCATCAGACGTCTTGTGCTGAGAGACTCCATTTGACCCTATTTAATGGATACTGCTAAAAATATGAACTTGGTAGTTAGATTGTCCCTGAGACAATCCTGAGATACAATTATTGGATCCACGCTATAACTTTCATAATTACATCTTCCAATTAATTAAAAAAGAAAAATCCTTTTTACACTGAAGATAAAAGCCAGCTATATTAACCTTCAAACAGCAGGGAGCCATGATTGACAATCATTCTAATTAAGATGGCCTCTTGTCAAAATGTGCTAAAATCGGACTTGTCTGAACTGTAATGAGGCTGGCCTAAGTCTGTAATAAAATTTCAATGCAGTGCTATAGAATTAGCTTGCTGGCACAAAGTCTTTTTTGTGTTTGAGTGTGATGGGCTCAAGTACTGGTTTGTTCTGGTGAACAGCAGTGACATTGCTGTATATCGCTGAAATCATAGTAGGTGAGCCCACATCTGCACCACAAAACAGGTAGCACGGTCCTTTGCTGTTATGGCTTGCATTTGAGTATCACTGTAGTGAGGATGTCTCAGATTCCTTGGCTAATTGGTTGCTAATACACTGATTTTTCTATACTGCCCCTTACTGTGTAGTGTAAACATGCCTCAGAGGTGAAGTGAGGTGAGGACACTTCACTAAAAAATATTTTTAACATGGAATGGGCAGACACACTGTTAGGCAAAGTTCTCACAGGTTTTTTCTGTATCTTTGGTCAAATTGTTTTATGATGTTTTGACCTACAGGTTTCCGAAGTCTGTGATATAAGGTGTTATGTGTTTGTTATTATGATAGGAAAACAGCGTTTACATACAATTTTGAGCAGGATAGCATCTCACAGCTTCTCCATAACACTTTTTCTTTGTAAATACACCACAACTTGGAAAAGTAGATATTAAAGCAGAAAGAAGCGTGGCTGCAATGAACTTGAGAAGTTCAAGCTATACAGATATAGAACTACAGGTGTAGGAGGAAAAAGAAATATTAAAGGCAAGAAATTGATATAAATGTGTAAATAAGATGGCTGGGTAGCAATTGATGACATAATAACAACACAGCATTTTGTTTATGTAATGTGTCTGAGACAAATCACAGTCAGTCACACAATGTCTTCCATGAACCAAGACAAAGATCATAGTTGAGGAGATTGTTCGTAAAAGCAGAAAAACTCGTGACCCAGTGGTGAAAAAAGAGCTATTGGAAAGGCTTGTAAAAGTAGGACTGTAGGACTGCTGTGACAATTCTAAAATAAAATATCTGAAGTCTAGAAATTGGAAAGAATGCTGTCTAAAGTAAAACAAAAAACAAACAAACAAAAAAAAACCCCATCCTTACACTCCTGGGATGTGAACTCATTCATTTCTTTCCCTTTATAATGATTTTCATTGATGATTGTCATCTTCTGTTAAAACTCCATGTAGCCTGTATTTGTGTATTATTTAGTATGCCTTCTTATAAAACATGAAGAGTTCTGCTAATAATTTCAAACAGTAGTTGTAATTATACCATATTTTTCTAGGAAAATTTTCAAATGCTTTTTCTCTAAATAGAGGAAGCCATGTTCCTCAGTGCTTTAGAAATGTTATTTCACATAGAGCCATTTGCTACTTCATAACAAAAGTCATCTGTCGCTTGTTACTTCAGTAGGTCAGACAAACTAAAGAATTTCTCACCTGAAGACGTGGAGTGATTGTGAGCTTGCTGCTTTAGTTGCAAGTAGTGTAGTTTGTCCAAAGTCAGTATCGTGCTTCAGAACTAAACTTCCATGTCAAGGAGAAACGCATCTGGAATGCTGTTCTGAAAATCAGGTTGCTTTCTGTGAGTGTGTGTTTATGAATAGCAATTGAGTTCTAAGCAGACAATGGAAAACCAAGTTTGCATTAATTAACTAATAGCAATACAAATGAAACTAAAATTCTCCTTTCAGAATTTCTTCCTTCCTAGAATTTTCTGAAGCCTGGGTTTGTGAGTACAAGTGTGGAGGGCAGTACATGTATTTTAATAGGTCTGCTGAGATTGTCGTGTCCTCCAGCTTTGAGTTCTTCTACCAACGCTGTAGAAAAAAGCTTTTTGATTCAGAAGAATGTGATTAAACAAGTAAAGCTTGTGCTCAGTGGCTTTAGATTTTTGGTTTCTTAGTATATTTCCTGCAACCTTTTATTGTATTTTTTAATATATATATATGTGAACACAAACACATATATGTAAAACACTTATGTTGTATTTATCTGTTTGTGAAAAAGTAGTTTTTTTCACGATATTTGCTTAATTATGCCAGAAGAAATCCTTCAATTTACATGACTTCAGGAATAGATAAGGTTTAGAAGGACTGCTTTTGTCCAACTAAGTGAGTTAGCATATGTAATTGGTTACACTTATATGTTATCGGGACCTAAATCCCCTTGGTTGTTGAGCTGTACTTTGTCAATGGTTTGCTTTCTAATAGATGAAACATTTGTGTTTCCTCTGGGCTTTAACTTTATATCCATGTAGACATCAAGTAGCTGTTTCTCAAAAGAGGAAAAATTCCTGCAAGAGTCTACTGTATGACAGCGAAGAAGATTTCCATCAGGTTGTGTCTTTATGTCCTTAAAATTAGGATCATCTTAAATGTGTCCTGAAGTTGTAGAAAATTATGTCACAAGGGTAAAAATTGGAAATAATATTTTAAAAATTTCCAGCTTCAAGTAATAATAATAATTGAAAGCTTGTTCTGAAAATGCCAATACTCAAAATATATTCAGTACCGTGTAAAAAGCTTGTTGGAAATTTGCTTTTTGAATTGTAACTAAAACTTATAACTGATGTGCATGTATCAGCTATAAGCCTTAATAGCACTGGAAACTATGTCTATATAGTTACTTATTTCAAGTTTTTATTTCTTCTCTTTTCTTCCAAGTGAATAAGGAAAGGTCGATGAAAAATTACATGTACTGACTATTTTCTTTTTTGTGACGTGGACTCAACTGAATACCAGTGTCTGTGAATAAACGTCAACATGTATCTGTGGCTACAGTGAGGCTGAACTTCATTTTTGTTGATGGGGATGCTTTCCCCACCATTTCTATCTTCTTATTTCCTACTGAAAAAACTTGATGGGTGCATAAGTAAATGGTAACATGCAAATCACCCCCATGTAACAGACTATAGAATATGACAGCGATTGCTTCTTCTGGAAGAGGTTGAAGGGAAATGTAAAATCACTTTATAACCATTTAAAAAAGAAATTGTCATTTCTGATAAAGAATGTAAGACAACCTGCTTTTTCCCATCTCTTTCTCCCAGATACCAGCTCCTGGAAGAACTATATTATATAGAAGACTCTTTAAAATACTCATGTTTTTCTGCCACATAACTCTTTCAAGAGGAAACTGAATTAATCGTAATTCTCTCTCATGCTACTAAAACCAGCAAGACAAATGATTTGTTGTGTGGCAATGCTATTGAAACAGATGAACGTTTGGGAAGCTAACTTATTTCTCTTCTGTTTTTGAAATACAGGTGCTGGCAACAGGGCTAAGTGGCCTCTATTCATCTTTGCCTACCAAGTTGGAAGAAAAAGGAGAAGAGTGGCACTGCCTGCTGAAAGATGACTGGCTCTTGTCACCTGCCCTTGTGCAATTCATGAATTCTCTTGAATTTTGCAATGCTGTGATACAGGTAATGGAGCAAAGTTGGAATAGTGGTTTTATAAACTCTGCAGTTGTGTTTTTTTTTTTGTTTTTTTTTTTTTGTGGAATTAGAGAATTTATTTTCATTTATTAGTTATGCCAATAGACGTTATTTATAAAGGGAAGGCTTTGTGCTGCTTGTCCCAATTATATGGATAAATTAATATGTTTTTGGTTTTCAGATGACAGATGTCGATGAATTCAGCATAGCTGATCAGACTCTTGATATTTTATCACATAATTGGGAACATCTTCTGTATTTTCAAAAACAAACAAACAAAAAAAAATCACCCAAAGTATTACTGCATTGTAATGCCACTGTTGACGTGGAAAATAAATTGAATGCTTTTAAATATGGGGGGGAAATAGTCTTTATCCATTTAAGCATTAAAAAATCACTTTGTCTATATTTAAACTCTCACAATAGTATATAAAAGAAAATAGTCTGTTTCACCTTGCAGTGCGCACTGCATTAAGAATAATGAAGCCAAACACCTTCTTAAGCAGAATTTAGCTATCTTTCTAGGAATATAATGTCATTGTAGATTGGCCTGCGTAGAATCCACTCTCTGTTTCTAATGATGATTTCTTGATTAGTTTTTATTTTTTCTCCCTCTTATTCTATCTTAATACCTTACTTAGTATTGCTTTTAAGCATATAGAGCCTTCTAGAGCCCTCATTCACAATTTTATTTAAATACGTTGTAACTTCTATACAAACAGTGGACATTTGTGTTACTTGAAGAAATGGCTGAGTAGGATTGAAAATTGAGTCACAGTTAAGTAAAAGATACATTTTAGTGAGATGCTTGCAAAGTACAATTGCTGCTGGGAAAGTAATCCCTCCTGTTTCTCTGTGTGGGCCTACTGTGTCAGAGATGGATGTTGGTGCTACAGCAGTTGAGGTTGAACCTTCCTGCTAAGGTTCTGTTGTATTTTGTTGCCATGGTGGGTGGTGTGTTTATTCTTATCCCGATAGCTAGAGAGTACTTGTATTTATTTACTATTGAAACACAGGTAAACAGCTGTCCTGTTTTTTCTTGTTGTACAAGGACAAATTAATGATGGCAAATCCACCTTCAAGTGACCCTGACAAGGTTGCAAGAATTAAATTTAGAATCTCAAGTCTTTCCTTGATGCATGGGCATGCAGTCTTTACTGTTGGTCTGTTCATCTTTGTCAACCTGCAGGGAAATCGAGAAGTCCTTTTCTCTAACTTTGGCAGGCTTACTCTGAGTAAACACCCTTGCTGTATTTTCCTGGAAGAACAAAGTATCTTTAAGAATTCACATCATAGAAAATGTTTGAGTGATGGATAAATGACGTGTGTTTTTTAAATGGGAAAATGTTTTGGTAATGGACAGAAGTATTATCTTCCTTGTCTTGTTTGCAGTCTCACTGCTATTGTTCTCTGTCCTTCTCTTCCATCTCTCTTCCCCTTAGGTGGCGCATCCCTTGATACGTAACCAGCTGGTGAATTACATTTACAATGGATTTTTAGTGCCAGTAATGGCTCCTGCACTCCATAAGGTCAGTGGTGAATGCAAGCACAACCTGAATTAACGACAGGCAAAAGCACTGTGGATAATGCCCGTGTAAAGACACTATCGAATACAGTATCAGTAGTGAGTTCTATATAAATGAGTGCATGCTTTCTTTCCGAACTATTTGTTTACATTATACCAGGTATTAAGCAAGAAGTGGATAAAAAGCATTTAAGATTGTCTGAAGAAATGAAATAAAATATTTTTGTTGTGCTAAGTTGACATGCCATCAAAATCGATGAACTTTTAGACAGAACTTCATGATGGCAGACATATTTCAGGAGAATTTTTTCCCAAAAGGGAAATGTTCAGTTGGGAAAAAATCCTCCTGGAACTCAAGAAGTTTTACACTAATTATATCTAAGATGGTAGTGGTTTTTGTGCTTCCTTCTTGCAGTTGGTAGAAGTATTATCATCAAGTTCAGAAGAAATGGATTTGATGTCAGTTTTCTAGTGTATTACAGTGCAGTTTATATTGCTTTGAAGAAAAAAACACTCTTCTGACTTTTAGGGATTATACTTAACAAAATATTCCACTCATACTGGTGAGTGTTTGTGTGAGTGTGTTAGGTAGGAAATTGGAGCATGTCATTAGCAGTCGTCTTTTTCCTGAAAAAAAAAGACTATCTTGTTTGAGGAGAGAAAGCAGGAGTTGCTGAGAATAAAAATGAAGACTTTTTTGGCTATCCACCAGAAGTTGCTACAAGAAGAGAACTTAGTTTTTAAATGTCTACTAATTTTTCCTAAGCCTGCCAAGCAGAAAGCAGTACACTTGTTCAATTTATCAGAGGCCAGTGGAATGCCTTTCTAGCGTAGGACTCGTCTTGGCAGTAAGTAATAAGCAGTATAGAACTGTTGATAATTCAGCAGACTTCATCCATTTGGGAACTTGAAAAGGACTGACATAAAATCTGGCTGCAATCCAGATGAAATTTGTAGTTGGCCATGGAGATAATTCACCCCCCTATCTGGAAGTGTTTTTTTAATTTATTTTTGCATCTTGACTTTATTCTGTACCAGCTCTGCAGAGTACAGTCAGAAGTGAAAAGGTTGCCACTTTCAGGTTACGGATTGCAAGTTAGATGTCAGAATGCAGCCATGGGATTCTGGATTTAGTGAGTATTGTGTTTGCCTCTAAAGCATTCAAGACAAATTTTAGGGTTTTCGATTACTGCAGCTGAATGCTATCCTTCTTGGTCAGTAAAAATGCTAACTTCCTAGTAGTTTAGGTATTCTCCTTCTGATGCTATTTATGACCTTTAAAATACACTGTGCAGATTAGGGTTGGGTTTTTTTTTTTTTTCCATGTAATGGAAATTTTGTTGAACTTCATTTATATATTCTGAAATTGGGTGAAGTCATACTTCCCTTGAAAGTGGAAGTGCTGGCTGCTAACATATGTAAGCTTCAATCCTAGGTCTTTCCTAAGCCATTACATTCTGTTGGTTCTTTTTATCTTTCAGTAATGAACCTTTTCTTTATTGGCATAAAGTTTGACCTTCTTATCATAAAAAATTAACTATTTTATGTACTTAAATGCTGAACACTTTCAATGAAGAAGATGGATTGCACCATCTAGTGGATTTGATACAAGGATCTCATGTCTGCGTGACCAAAAACCCATAAGAAAGGGAAATGTGTGAAGAGAGGCACCTTTTGATCTCTTCAGTCTTCTTTTAATTTAAGACAAAATAAATATTTTACATATTTACTTTTGGGACAGATCTCTCTGGACCAAGACAGGTGCTGTTATAGCTCTTTTATATACTTTAGTCATTTGTAGTTGCCATTCATAAAGTCCGTGCTGAGCTGAGGAGTAAGCAAGTGTCATTCGTTTGGGGACTGTGGTGTTACAATTAACCTTTTGGTTTTACTCTTTTAGTAAAACATAGGAAAAAATCTCATGGGCCAAAATGAGAGGCCAGGCGCATCATAGTGTTTTTAAAAACAGAAATACTTTCATTAAACACAAGAATGAAACTGCATCTTGATTTGATTTAATTATTTTTGACTTGATAAAATTTGTTTGGTATCCTAGAATATGGTATCCCTGAGTTGTTCTAACTCATTCTGGCTTATGAGTTCAAATATAACGAATATAGGAACATGGCATAAAAGCCTTATTTGGAAGACAGATCTGTGGAAGGTTAAAGAGGGATTAAGAAGATGGAGAATTATTGGTGCTTCTTCCTGTTCATGTAAATCTTATTAGTAGAATTTAATTGGTATGAAACAGCTGCTTCTGATTGATAACTCTCAGTGATAAGCATGGAAGGAAGGAAGGAAAGGAATACAGACTTCATTTGGCATGCAAGCCCTAACATCCCACACCCAATCTGTGTTAGAGCTTGTGGTTCTAACTTAAAGCAGAATGCAGAAAGGACATGAGCTTTTGGCTCTGGCATACTACTTCAGACTTGTTCTCTATGTATTCTTATTTTCCTTCAAGATGTACGTTTTTTGAGTACAACATGTCTCTGCAGCAAGATGCACTTGAATTTGTTTTTGAAAAGGCATCTCCCAGTTAGAAATGTATACCTCTAGGAAAGACATCTTCAATGTTTTGTGTTCTCATTGTGATGAAATTTGATTTCTGTTTAAAACATCACCAACATGAACAAATCACACTAATGTGACTTCCTGCCTGATTCGCAAATCTAATTTAGGTGATTCAAGTACATAAAATAACCCAAGCAGGCGTACAAGCAGCATTTGATAAATTGTGTAGCAAATAGCCTCATTATGTTTTAATCCCTCTTAGAGCAATAGCAACATCAGTTTGCCTCTGCAACTGATGTAGTCAGATAAGAGGAGTATGTCTGGTACGAGGGCAGTTACTCAGTTTTGGATTGAAGCAGAGACTCCTCTGTTGTACTGGCCAGACTCTCATTCTTCTCTCTTTACAGAACCGCAGTGTGGCGGAGACTGGCAGGCACCTCTGGAGGTCGTCCTGTCTAACCTTCTTGCTCTAACAGGATCAGCCAGAGCAGGTTGCTCAGAGAAGCGTGCTTTCTGCTTGCTTGCTTCTGATTGTTTTCTGTTGTTGTTTTTTTTAATGTCAAATTGGAATTTCCTGGATTTCATTTATTGTCATATGGCTTTTTGTTCTTTCAGTATGCGTCACTGAGAAAAGTTCTGCTCACTTATTTTTGCTCTTCCCGTCTTTTATTTGCTCATGATGCTAATATCCTGTTGAGCGTTCTGTTCTCCCAGCTGAGCAATCCCAGGTCTCTTAGGATCTCTTTGTATGATAGATGCTCCCACACCATCATCACCTTTGTCACCTCCAGCTTGTCTGTGCATTTCTTGTCCTGGTTATACCAGCACGCTAGATGCATCTTACCAGTGCTGGGTAAAGAGGAAGGATGCCCTCCAGCCAACCTTTTAGGAATGCTTCTCCTGATGCAGCCTAGAGGGCTGTCATTCACCTTTGCAGCAAAAATGCATTATTTACTCATAGCCAGTTTTTTTTGTCCACAAGGACATGCACATTCTTTCCTGAAAAGCTGCTTTCCAGCCAGTTGGTTTCCAGTGTACAGTTGTCTTAGAATTATTCCTCCCCAGGTACAGGGATCTGCATTTGTATTACTGAACTTCTGTTTGCCTGCTTCTTCAGGCTGTCAAGGTTCTTCTGGCAGCACAGCCATCCATCAACATCTCTGCCTCCTTTTGTAACATCTACAAACTTACTGAAGGATACACTTCATCTCATCATGGGAGTCATTACTGATGGTACTAAACTGCACTGGCCTCAGTGTAGACCACTCATCACCAGCCTTCCGCTGGGTTTTGCACTGCAGACAGATTGCAATCCTTTGAGCCAAGCAGTACAGTCCACCCACTGTCTATCTACCCATCATTTCCTCTGTGAGGATGTTGTGTAAGGGATGGTGTCAGAAGCCTTTTAAGACAGACTTCAACTGCTCTGCATTTATCCATCAGGCAGATCATCTCACTGTAGAAGGTCTGATTTCCACTTTGTAAATTTGTGCTGACTGTTTCCAATCACCTTCTTGTCCTTAATGTGTTTTGAAATGGCCTTCTCCCAGCCTGAAGCAATGGGCAATTAAACAATATTTTCGTTGAAAGTATCATGGCTTTTCAAAATTTCAGTATGCAGTTCAGTGCTTTGAGATTTGTGTACTCATGGTCATGAGATGTCTGTAACATTTATGGAGTAAAGCAGTTAGCTCTGCTCATTGTCTGCAACTTCTTAAGTGCTACAGATTGTCCTCATACATAGTTGCTATGCATGTGGTTCACTACGTGATAGAAGCAGTAGGAGAGTGTTGAGGATAGTGATGCATTTCTATGAGTAAGTCAGGGGTGGGGAGACAACTGTCAACACCACCACCATACACCTCTGACATTGAAGGCCAACATAATAAAAGAGGAAGCCTTACTTTCAGAGCAACCTAGTGTGATTTTAGGGCTTAATTCAGCTTGAAAATAAAATAATAGCTAGTTCTTGGGTTTTTTTTGTTGTTGTTGTTTTTTCTTCAGGTTAAGGAAGTTTCAGATTTATTTGACTAGGTACCTAGCTTAAAATAGTCTGTTTTTCACAGTGAACTCTCTGAAGGTTATTTAGGTAGCAGATCAACTGCAGTGTGCTTGGAAAAAAAACCAACAAACATCATGTAAGTTTATGACTCCATAATTTCATTTCTCAGAGAGGTGTCCTGTATATAGCATGTTTTTGTAGCCTAAGTTCATACCTGTTCTGTACTTGTCTGTTGCCACTTCATGTGTATTATCCTAGCCACCCCCATAATGAGCATTTCACAATTATGTTCATACCCTAGAAGCTGCACTTTCCAGAGTGGGTAGACAGCTTACATTTGTGTTGTGAAAGTAGGAATATGCATTAGTTGGCTACAGTGAATAGCCCTGCCTTATCCTTTGGTGTTTATTGTACTTCATACCAGGGAGTTACCTCCCTTGCTGCTGTCATCTGACTCTTGAGAAATGGAAGCAAGTGATTCGGTT